TATTTTTTATTGTGAAAATACTGTACAGGAGTTACAATTACATGGGCAAGATGTTCATATTTTTTTAAAGTCCAATGTATTTTCAAGTGAATTTTAAACACATCTAGTTAATTTCTATGTTAGTTCCTCCTGGGAATTTGATATAAATTATACTAAATCCAAAAATAAATTTAAACAGAAGTTATGTAACATTATTCACAACAGTTCAACTCTTCATATTTTGGATCTTTATTTACTAACTAGAATGCTTTCTAGTCTTTCAATTGCATATCTTGCCTATGATGCTGTAGTGTTCTTATTTTCTAACATTTAAAATTCTAACTTGAGAATTATATGTGTTAGTATATAGAAAACTAAAATGTTACTGTTACACTCATTTCCCTTTTTTAAAGAAAAAGCTTGTCATTATATGACTTTTTTTTTTTCCTGGTCCAAGGACTCTAGGCCTGGGAACTGTCCCTGAAGTCCATTTGCTCAAGCATATCACTCCACCACCAGAGCTACAACAGAGCTTCAGGCTTTTTCCATGATTAATTGGAGATAAAAGTTTCACCAACTTTCTTATCTGGGCTACCTTCCAAGAATGATCCTCAGATTTCAACCTCCTGAGTAGCTATGGTTACAGTCCTCAGACACCAGTGCCTGGCTATCATATGACATTTTGGATCTTGTTTTAATCACTTGCCAGTATATGATAACCATTTCATTCATTCATTCATTCATTTTTATTTACCTTTATCATTTATTTATTGCAGTTCAATGGCTTGAACTCAGGGCGCGCGTGTGTGTGTGTGTGCGTGTGTGTGTGCGTGCGTGTGTGTGTGTGCGTGTGTGTGTGTGTGTGTGTGTGTGTGTGTGTGTGTGTGTGTGTGGTGGAACGCTCTTCAGATCAAGTCAAATGCTCTACTGCTTGAGCAATAGCACCATTTCTGGTTTTCTAGTGGTTTATTGGAGATAAAAGTCTCACAGACTTTCTTGCCTAGGCTGGCTTTGAACCATGAACCTCAGATCTCAGCCTCCTAAATAGCTGGGATTACAGGCTTGAGCCACCGGCACCGGGCTGGGCCTTGTGTTTGCAAGAGCTCTACAATCAAGCTTCCAGCTTTCACTTCTTTTTTATAGAGTCAGATTTTTTACACAGCCAATCATATCTACCATGAATACCTTTCCAACTAAAGGTGGTTCTTTCCACATTCTACAATGTTCCCTATTAATCTCTAGGATTCTCTCTAACTGCAGCTTTCATCTGTTTTGTACTATGTTTTCACAATCTATTTCCTTAGACTCCCATACTTTTTGCAGTGTCTCAGCAACTTAGTGATAATACCAGTACCTCCCTAGTTTCCCTCTTCCTATACTGTGAAATGGAAATGCAATGAAAGCATTAAGCTGGGAAAATAACAGGCCTCTTCTCATTTGTTTTCCATCTGTCAGGATCACCATACTTGAACATATAACATGAGCGCTAGAAAAGCCACTATATAAAGCATTTAGTTGTTTCAAATCTAGTCCTAGTGGAGGAGCCTGAATTTGACAGTTTAGCATTCACTGTCCCAGTTTTGTATTTGGAGAGAGGGGATAGATGGAAGACACTGAAATGACCACAGAGTCATAGAGTTGTAAAGTTTAGAAAAATGAAAACAAGCTGAAAACTGGAAGCTCACCCTTATAATCCTAGCTACTCAGGAGGCTAAGAACAGAGAATCACAGTTTCTCTGTAGGACAGTTTATGAGATTCTTATCTCCAACCAACCTCAAAAAAACAAAACAAAAAAAAACATTTGGAGCTGTGGCTCCTTTATCAAAAAAGCTAAGAGAGTACCTAGGCCCTGAGTTCAAGTTTCAGTACTGGAACATACATACATGCATGCATGCATGTACCCCCCACATCCACATCCACACATGCACAGAAAGAGTTCAATTTGAACATCAGTATAATCATGACTGGGTAGATGAGATATTCTCATAATAAAAATTATCTAAAATGATTTCTTAATAGTATCAATTAATACTATGAAATAGACTATTTGCTCCATGACAAAGATACTAATCATACAATTTTGTAGGACTTTTTTTTTTTTTGGTGGAGGGGTCTGGTCGTGGTGCCTGAACTCTGGGCCTGGGCGCTGTCCCTCAGCTCTTCAGCTCAAGGCTAGCACTCTATCACTTGCGCCACAGTGCCACTTCGGGCTTTTTTCTTTTTGCTTATGTGGTGCTGAGGAATCGAACCCAGGGTCTCATGAATGCAAGGCAAGCATTCTACCACTGAGCCACCTTCCCAGCCCCTTGTAGGACTACTTTAAGATGATAAAATTTATACTTATCTGACACACAGATGTTTCTAAAGCAAATGTGCTATTTGCCAAAATTAGCATATTGTGTAAAAAAGTGACTTGACTCTGCTTGAATAAGATATTATAGAAGTATACTAACAAAATCCTTGTGAAGTTTATACTTACTGTGGCAACAAGGACTGTTTTGTAATGCATGTGTGCTTTGTGAGGAAAATTATTGTCAGATGCAGAGGATATCCCAAGTCAAATACCACAAAACAACTTAATTCAACATAATTAGATCCACCTACTTTTTCCCCTTGCCTGATTAAAGTACACTCAGAATTCTTGGAAGAATTCAAAATAATATGATTCTGAAGTACTCAAAGATGACTAGATAGATCATGTGCCATATGGAATTCATGACTGGTATTAAATTTTATCAGTTCAAAACATTTTCAGTAGAAACTTACAAAGACTAATTTTATGATCAACTGAGGTCCTCACATCTAAAATATTAATGGTTAGACATTACAAGATGCACCTAGAGCAAAATCATTCCTTTTTACTTGCCTACCTGTTAAAAATAGGAATATCATTAGCAGATCCAAATATATCTACCAAGAATATATGAGGCAATATTCTAGCAATGATTACTGTAGACCAAATGTTCTATTTCTAGGGAATAAGCATGCTGGTACATGGTGGTACATGGTGCTACTCAGGAGGAAGAGGTAGGAAGATCTTTATCCAAGGCCAGCCTAGACAAAGTTAGTGCAAGTCCTTATCTAAAATACAAACTAAAAAACAAAAGGACCAGAGATGTGACTAAAGTTGTAGATCAATGTTAATTTTATCTAGAGCTCTCATTACACAATCATTACACAAATGATTCTGTAACACACTAATATCTAGCTAATCCACTTTAGTAACATTAATACTCATCAGATAAAACCAAAGGGTGGGCTGGGAAGGTAGCTCAGTGGTAGAGCGCTTGCCTTGCATGCCTGAGGCCCTGAGTTCGATTCCTCAGCACCACATAAGCAAAAAGAAAAAAGCCGGAAGTGGCGTTGTGGCTCAAGTGGTAGAGCACTAGCCTTGAACTGAAGAGCTGAGGGACAGTGCCCAAGCCCAGAGTTCAGGCCCCACGACAGGACCAAAAAAAAAAAAAAAAAAAAAAACCAAAGGGTATAATTATGTTGGAATTTGTATATTTATTTTATGTTGGAAAGCATGCCTTCATCAATTATTTGATTATCTTATTAAATGGATGAGAGGTGATATAACACTGGATGCTTTATCAATTTTCACAACTAAATTAATGTCCAATGTATGTTAATTATAATTACGAACTTTTTATTTTTATTATAGTCATTTGTTTTGGTAAAAATATAAGAGAAACCACACTTTAAAATGGGTTGGACTGTTCAAAGAATAGCATAGAATTATCTCCAAAGAAACAGTTGGCACACTGGTAAAGCCATAACCATAAGTTCTGTGAAATAAAAGCTATTTGTAAGTTTAGGCTCCTGAGATAATGCATATTATCTAGCATTTGATGTTCAGAATATTAAATACATATAAAAATCATGTCATACCATGATAACTAAAGCAATATTTAATAATATATGTGTATATGTTGGGGCTGGGAAATTGGTTCAGTGGTAGAGTGCTTGCCTCGCATGCATGAAGCTCTGGGTTCAATTCCTCAGCACCACATAAGCAGAAAAAAGCTGGAAATGACACTGTGGTGCAAGTGGTAGAGTGCTAACCTTCAGCTGAAGAGCTGCAGTACAGGGCCCAAGCCAGAGTTCAGCCACCACAACCATCAAAAAAAAAAAAAATCTGTGTGTATATTTGTGTTATCTGTTAACAAGAACATTAACAAAGTTATTTATATAAATGTTTAAAAACTAACTATGTAAACAAAAAAAATGCTACCCCTGTAAATTCCTATTTACTACTTTCTATCATCAGGATAATTTCATATTACCAAGGTGAAATCAGTAAATGTAGTAATTGTGAGAGAGGTGCATAATTAATTCTCACTAGCAATTGAAAACTACCTCCAAGTTATAATATATCCAATTCTATTTTGAGAACTGTGTTTATGTATATGTAAATGTGTGTCTATAGTACCAAGTGTGCGCACGTAAGTGTGTACATAAAGACATAAGTAGAATCAATGTTACTAGTAAAAGATAAGGAGGTCAGATATCCATTGAGTGATCAAGATTTTTTTCTGGAGCTAAAAATGGGGTAGGACTAAATAGTGAAATGACCAACTAACATAAAAATTACCGAATTTTTAACAGTAAAGTTTCAATAACTTATTGTTTTTATCTTTATTTGCTCAAATGAGTACGATATGCTATCATACTCAAAGAATAAAGTTTTCTCAAAAACATAAAGTTTCAGCTGGGCCTCAGTAGCTCACCTCTCTAATCCTAGTTACACAGAAGGATGAGATCTGAGAATTGTGGTTCCAAGCCAGCCTAGGCAAAAAAATCTAGGAAACAATTATCTCCAATTAAATCACAGAAAAAGCTGAAAGTAAGGCTGTGGCTCAAGTGGTAGAGTGCTAGCCTTGAGCAAAAGGAGCACTGGGACAGCACAGAGTTCAGGCCTCAGGACCAGTAAAAAAAAAAGTTTCAATTAGGTATAAATGACCCAGTAGATTAGATATCACAGCACACAAAGAAATAAATTCTAAAAAACACTACTTACTTTGGCTTCTGTTTCACCCCTGTGTAGAGTATACAGATGATGGACAGCACTTTGGGATGAGGACCAAGGATGAGTCAAAATTTGGAAAACGTGGAAGTCATGCCCAAGAGTATCCGTTGTGACTAAAAGCATCCCTAGAAGAAAAAGCAAGGTATAAAAATTCAAATGATTATGTGCACAGATGAAATTAAAAATTGATCGGAATATGTTAAAATACTACTAAATAAAAAATTCCCCAAGCTTATAAAAAATAGTTTTCAAAATAAGAAAGCTAACATAAAATATCTACTTCCAGACTCACTCATATCTAGCTACTCAGAAGGTTGAGATCAATATCAAAGCCAGACCAGGCAAGAAAGTCAAAGAAAATCTAATCTCCAATAAACTAATCACAAAAGGCCAGAAATTGCCACCAAAAATCCAGAAATGGAGTGGTGGCTCAAATGGTAGATATCTCTAGCAAAAAAGAAAAAGAGAAACAGGCAGAGACAAAGAAAGAAGAAAGAAAGAAAGAAAGAAAGAAAGAAAGAAAGAAAGAAAGAAAGAAAGAAAGGAAGGAAGGAAGGAAGGAAGGAAGGAAGGAAGGAAGGAAGGAAGGAAGGAAGGAAGGAAGGAAGGAAGGAAGGAAGGAAGGAAGGAAGGAAGGAAGGAAGGAAGGAAGGAAGGAAGAAACGAAACAAAGGAAGAAATACAGAAAGCAAGCAAGCAAGCAAGCATGTAAGCTCAGAGACAGCAGCACCATATGCTCAGTTCCAGTCCCAGGACAGGAATCAAAAGAAAAAAAAATTTCATATAAAATACAAACATAACATAACACCACTAGTAAACTAGCAAAACGCAACTACTAGATATGAAGGTATTATGATGCATTGTATGACTAAGAGAAAAATCTTATACTCGTCAAGTAAAGTTCACAGACATGTTCAAATTCAAGGGTATAAAAATGTCTGATCAGAGCTGAGGGCAGTGGCTCATGCCTGTAATCCTAGCTACTCAGGAGGCTGAGATCTGAGGATCTCAGTTCAAAGCCAACCTAAGCAGGAAAGTCCATGAGACTCTGATCTCTAATAAACTAATCAGAAAAAAAAAAAAAAAAAAAAAAAAAAGGGGAAGTAAAGCTGTTGCTCAAGTGCTAGACTGCTAGCCTTGAGCTCAAAGAGGCTCAGGGTTAAAACCCCAGGACTGGGGAAGGGGGAGGAAAGACTGGCCAGAGTTAAAATGTGATTGCTAAATTTATAAAACTGAATGCTAAGTTAAATAAATGTATTCAGCAATACTGAACCAATACTGATTCCTCCACTTAGTAATTCTACAGCTTACAATTTGTCTACATTCATCTGGGCAACATGTCTATATTCCCAGCTAACTATGGAGGTGAATGCAGGGGGACTGTGTGAGCCCATAAATTGGGTAACACAGGGACAAGAGGCACCAAAAAGTGATGCATTACACACACACACACACACACACACACACACACATTTTTTTTTGGGTCAGTCGTGGGACTTCAATTCTGGGCTTGGGCACTGTCCCTGCGCTCTTCAGCTGAAGATGAGCCCTCTACCACTTGAGCCATAGCACACTTCCAGTCTTCTAGTGGTTTATTGGAGATAAGAGTCTCACAGACTTTCCTGCCCAGGCTGGCTTTGAGCCATGATCCTCAGATCTCAGCCTCCTGAGCAACTAGGATTACAGGCATGAGCCACTGGCACCCGGTGATGTATTATATTTTTTCTACTCTAGGACAATATTAATTGAAACTGTCAACAATGCATTCCATAAATGAAGATCTCCATTTAGTTAAGACAATATGACTATGAGTGTCAACTAAAAAGATAATATACCTATGTTTCCAGAATTCTAGAGACTGCTTGTTAACTCACAGCAGAAATCTGTCATAGCGCTCTGTAATCTCATCTTGTATATGGGATTTTGTTTTTGCTTTGTTATTTTTCATTTTATTTTCCAGGAATGTCATTAGACTATACATCTGCAGCCTCTTGGAAATAAAATAGACCCTTCCCAACAAGTAGTTTGAAAACCTCTGATCCGTACTTCCATAAGCATAAAGAAGGCTAAGAGCCACTCACTTTGAATGCAAATTCAGGCTGTGGTTGGTCTGGTTCCCAAGACAACAGGGATGCTACAGAGCTGCCTTTTCTCCTGTGGGGGCATAGTCTGACCATCAGGAGGAGGGCGGGGCCTGTGTATTATGAGGCAGGGTGTCTGCAGAAGACAGGACTAGGGAGAGGGAGTGGGATGTGGAAGAGGGATATGACAGGGGCATTACTGTGATCTTGCATTTTAAGATGCCTACCAGAGGGAAACATGCTTTTCACATTTTTAAAAATTATAGGGAGAGCCAGGCACTGGTGGCTCAGGACTGTAATCCTAGCTACTCAAGATGCTGAGATCTGAGGATCACGACTCAAAGCCAGCCTGGGCAGTAAAGTTTCTACCACTTGAGCCACAGTGCCACTTCTGGCTTTTTCTGCTTATGTGGTGCTGAGGAATTGAACCGAGGGCCTCATGCATGCAAGGCAAGCACTCTACCACTGAGCTACCTTCCCAGAGAAATAATGACTTTTTAAATTAAACTTCAAATTGTACATCATGCTTTAAAACAGATTAATTGATCATTACTTTCTGCTTAAAAACTTTAAGGTGGTGTGCCAGAAGCTCACACCTGAAATCATAGCTACTTTAGAGGCCGAGATCCAGAGGACTGAGCCTATAGACCACAGAATGTTCTAAATGTGATGGTCCCTGACTGTCATCTCAACGGAGGCAAGATGGCAGGAAATATATATTCCTCAATTATGAACTCGGTCAGTATTGACAAAAAGCAAGGTCCTATATTTCACTGGTAAAACTCAAGGCCTTATTTCAAAATTAACTAGAGCAGGACTCCCTGTGGGACTCAGTGCTAGAGTATCTTCAAGCACATTCCAAAAGAGGAATGTGCTGTCTCTCCGAGAGACAGACTGACAGAGACAAAGAGCCAGTGAGTCAGAGAGACAGAGAGATTACCTAATTTCCAGAAATGTCCAGAACACTATTGTCATCTAAAGATGTTTGTTATTGGGGCTGGGAAGGTGGCTCAGTGGTAGAGCGCTTGCCTTGCATGCCTGAGGCCCTGGGTTCGATTCCTCAGCACCACATAAGCAAAAAGAAAAAAGCCGGAAGCGGCGCTGTGGCTCAAGTGGTAGAGCACTAGCCTTGAGCTGAAGAGCTGAGGGACAGTGCCCAGGCCCAGAGTTCAGGCCCCACGACCGGACCCAAAAAAAAAAAAGATGTTTGTTATTGTTATTTCCTATTCAAAACAAGACATGAGATTGCTATTGTTTTACTTTAAATATGTCGTAGAATTTTAATCTCAAAAAAAACTTCATTGGCCTGAATTTAAGGATTTTAACTACAGTTTAATATCCCTTATCCAAAATGATTGAGATAAGAAGGGTTTCAGATATGGGATTCTAAAGGAATAGCCATATATATGAAATGAAGCATCCTATATTATTCCCATGCCTAAACAGGTAATTAATTTGTGTGTCACATACTTTGTACAGTTTCAGGAAATTTATAAAATGTTCTTCATGTGTCTATATTTTGCCTATAAGACTCAGGAGGTGAGAATGTCATGTCTGTGATTTTTTTTAAATTAGTTTTGTTTTTTTTTTTTTTTTTGCGGGGGGGTGGGGGGGGGGGTCGGTCGTAGGACTTGAACTCTGGACTTGAGATCTTCAGCTTAAGGTGAGCCCTCTACTGCTTGAGCCACAGTTCCACTTCCGGATTTCTAGTGGTTTATTGGAGATAAGAGTCTCACAGACTTTTCTGCCTGGGCTGGCTTTGAACCATGATCCTCAGATCTCAGCCTCCTGAGTAGCTAGGATTACAGGTATGAACCACCGGCACCCAGCAATTAGATTTTTTTTTTTAATAGAGAAAATGCCATTTTACTAATGGAAGTTCCCATTAGTCTATAAAAGTACACATTAAATAGCATTCTATTCTAATTTGGCTTAACAGTATGATACAACAGTCTTTCTATTTTAGTCACATGATTTTTCTATATTTCTAATGCTGTAGTAGCATTGTATTATTATTGAAGGATCAATAGGAAAACAGGAAAAAACAAAAAGCAAAGACAACCTCACAGTTTTCAATAAACAGCAAGTACACAAAAAAATATTCTGCTCCCTTAGAAATACTTGGTGCATACTGAGAATATAACAAGCCACCATTTCTCATTAAACAAGATTTATCAAATATCAGAACTACTTATAATGCGGTTTGGAGCAGTGTTTGGAGAAGAGTGAATACTCAAATGGTTGGTTGAAAAGTAAAATGAAACAAGCTTTATATCACAAATTTTATTATCTTTAGAGTTGTACAAAAATTTTGAAAAGTTTTAACTGTCAATTTTCTACAGGAATTAAAATTAGATTTTAAAGCATTTCAACTTTCATATTTTCACATTTTTAGTCATGTTTACGATTTTAAATTTTGCATGGTATTAGCGGCTCATGTCTGTATTCCTGGGGAGGCTGAGATCTGAGGATCATGGTCTGAAGCTAGCCACGGTAGGAAAATCTGAGAGACTCTTACCTCCACTGAACTACCAAAAAAAGCCAGAGTGGAGCTGTGGCTCAATTGGTAGAGTGTTAGACTTGAACAAAAAGAAGCTCAGGGACAGCACTTGAACCCTGAATTCAAGCCCCTGGACCAGCAAAACAAAAAACGAAACAAAAAAAGCATCATTTTAAATTTCTTTACTTTCTCTAAATGAAGGAATTAATCCTTTTTCACATATATGGTATTTAGTGATATAGACATTATCTGCCAGAATAATAATAGTTTCTGTTTTCCTTTTTCCTTCATCAATACGTCTAAGATTTTTATTTTCCAGGTAACTTGTTTCATGATTTTAATTTTCTTTTTAATTTTATTAATTTCTAGCCTATCTTGTTCTCTGCTTTATTTTTCTAGTTTTAGGTTCATTTGTTCATCTTTCGTATTTCTTAAGTTCCAGAGTAAGAATGTATCAGTCAACATTCTCCTCTAAGTCTTCCTTCAATTCTACAGATACTAAAATGTAGTACTTTCAATTACACTCAACTGTAAATGTTTTCTA